CATATATTCGTGTTTTTTGAATCACAGCAAAATAGGTTCAATTTTGTCTTGGAGGCAGCTCGCTCACATCTGCGACGGCTCTCCGCTTTTCGCTAGATATGTCTTATTGCTCAGACAACAAGCCAGTCCCCTTTTTTGGATACTTAAAAACAAAACCAAAAACCTTTTAATCCATTATCTTTTCCATCGTTCAAAATTTTCCACTATTATATCTCCGAATTTATACATCCTTTCTTTACTGAAAAAGTTGAAGCCATTAGGCTCATGGGGTATCTCTTTGTAGTATCTGTCTCTATTTCTTTCTTCTCTCTTGTTCTCATTGCAGTGTCTCCATTTTCTTCCCAAAGCTTCTTCATCTCTACTTTTTGTTGGATTTATCCAGTCGTCTGTTTCAGAATGGAGTCCCCGGGTGGTGTAAATGATTAACATGCTCGGCTGCTAACTGAATGATTGGAGGTTCCAGTTCACCCAGAGGTGCCTCAAAAGAAAGGACTGGCAATCTACTTTTGAAAAATCACCCACGGAAAATCCTATGAGTCACAGTTCTCTACGGTCACCATGAGTCAGAGTCAATTCGACAGCAACAGGTACTGGTTTTGTTTTAGTACAAGGCCAGTTTTTCTGAACTGGGGTAAACAGCAGTAGGGGATTGGTAGAGGGAAAACACATAAACAGATGAAAAAGGGGCTACTGAGGAAGAATGAGGATTCCCTTTCCTTGAACCACATTATTGTCTCAGTCCTCAATCAGCCATCTCAGGAATTTTCAGTATGTTCCTCCCTACACTGATTCTTCTCCTCTGGCATTATTAAGACACGCATCTCACTTTAGCATATGAAGAAATTTCACTCCCTTCTGCTGCAAATCCTTTCTTCAATCCTAAACTTTTTGGAAAAAAAAAAAAACTCCTCCAAGAGAACTCTATTTAGTATCTTACACTATTTCTCAATTCCTGTATTCTGCCTTCCACCACTTCCTAGCTGTGAAAACTGCACTTTCAAAGCTCACTGATGTCCTCCTGATAGTTCTAAATTCAAAGGTACCTTTATTTTTTTTTCTTTCTCTGAACATTGGTCTCAGCCCTCTCCTTAGTGTAACTTTACAGTACTCTACTTTTGATTCTCCACGTCTCTCCTCCAACTGGTCTCACTAGTATACATTAATTCTCTCTCTCCAGGTTCCTTTCAGCTCTTTCTGTGAGTATTCGCCAAGAATTAGTCTTTCTTCTCTGCTTTTTTTTTTCTTTTTCTTTTAATATTCCTCTCTGGAGAGTCTATAGTTCAATAATCATACGTGTAATTGTTTTGTTAGGTACCATTGAGTCCATTCCAACACATAGCGACACTGTGTATAACAGAACAAAACACTGTCTGGTCCTGCACCATCCTCATAATCATTGCTATGTTTGAGCTTATTGTAGCCACTGTGTCACTCCAACTCCTTGAGGGTCTTGCTCTTTTTCACTGACCCTCTACTTTACCAAGCATGATGTCCTTCTCCAGGGACTGGTCCCTCCTGATAACATGACCAAAGTACATGAGACAAAGTCTCACCATCCTCGCTTCCAAGGAGCACTCTGGCTGTACTTCTTCCAAGAAAGATTTATTCATTCTTCTGGCATTCCATGGTATATTCAATATTCTTCACCAACACCATAATTCAAAGGCATAAATTCTTCTTTGGTCTTCCTTGTTCATTGTCCAGCTTTTGCATTCATATGAGGAGATCAAAAATACCATAGCTTGTGTCGGGCATAACTTAGTTCTCAAGGTAACGTCCAAATTGACATATTCTACTCTGCTCTGGCTACAATGCATCACACAAACATCACAACCATTTGCCTGAAATTCCCTTTTGGAACTGTCATCATCACTTCTCACTTAACGTTGCTAAAACTGAGCTCTTCATCTTCCCTCTAAACTGGTCTGTTTTAATGGCACTAATCCTTCAAGTATTCAGTTTTAAACTTTTGACTCTCTTTACTTCCTCCCTTTTATTACTCATTTATTCATGACATTCTCTGGATTCTTCCTTCACAGAAGCTCCTGCAACAGTTTCTGTCCAATAAGTGTTAAGAAAGCAGTTATAAAGAAAATTCACACACATCCAAACATGTCTCACACTCTTTCCAGTTTGGGCTTTTACTCAAAGCATTTCCGCCCACTTTTCCTTCTATTTGTACTTCTGAAACCTTAATCATTCTTGAAAGCTCATCTCAGACATCACCACCTCTAAGAAGTGTTTCTGAGATCTGCAAGGGAGAAATAAATATTCTCTTCCACCTAAACTCCTATCAGAATTTGTTTATATATTTAATATTGCATCTAACCGTCTGCCTCGTATGTGAATTATATATAAAGTATTGCTCTATTTCCAACCGTAATTAACAAGCTTAGAAAGCTGTGACGTGTCGTTTAGCCTCTCTTCCATGTAAGAAGACAGTGCTCTACACATAGTCAGTGCTTAAAAGCCTGTCCTAAATTAAATTAAACGGGGATGGGATTTAAGCGAGACCTTGGAGTATATTAATAAAATATTAAGAGATCTGTGTTCAAACGCAGCCTGTCTGAAATTCTCTTTGAAATGCTGAAAGGCTTTAGACACATTATTCAAGGAAATGAGAGTAATATAAGAAGGGATCAATTATCTAAAACATAAATACTGTCTTTTTTTTTTTTTTTAAAGTGGGGAATGGATATTAGATAAACCCAAACAAATCATTACCTTCAAGTCGATTCCAATTTGTAGCGACCCTATAGGACAGAGTAGAACTGCCCCATAGGGTTTCCAAGGCTGCAGTCTTTACGGAAGTAGACTACTACATCTTTCTCTCAAGGCTGGTAGGTTTGAAACACTGACCTTTTGGGTAGCAGTCGTGAGCTTAACCATAGCGCCACCAGGGCTCCATTAAATAAGCCGTCATAACTTAATGCTTCATTTATCTACCTGGAGTTTCCAAAGAATAATGTTTTTCATTGCGGTTGAGTATTGTTTTGTATGTGTGTGCGTTCCACTTTTTACCTCAACAATTTTATCTAAGTTGAGGAAATAAAGTGGGACAAAGCTATACTACATTTAGAATAGTTATCCTGCTAGTTGAGAGATCCAAGAAAGACTGTGATGCTTATAATGGTAATTCAAGCAAGAATCTTCTAATTCCTTTACATCTGAGAACCATTTCAGGTTTTCAAATACAATCAAATTTTATTCACGAAAAATTTTCTTGTGTGTGTATGTGGAATTTTGAAGCTTTCTAACTATGTGCAATATCTGGAAAATTTTTCTTATTTGTTCTGCATTTTTCGTGATTATAGTTATCACAAGCAATGCTGAATTTTTGTGAAATTTGTTTTTCAATTTATATTGACAGAATATCCAATCCAAAACTGAAGATAAATGATATTTGGTGAATAAACAATAAATATTTTCAACAATTTTTTGTAATACAACACTACATTACTTTGAAGAGGCATGTCTTCAACATATTACTTGGCATGTTTTAGATACAAAAATGCCTTTGGTGGCAATAATCAGAATCCATGGAATTCTGTGGCTCCTTACTTGTGCTCATCTTTACTTTTATTAGTTTAGGATCACAAAGCATTTACTGTACATTAATTTCACACTTGATACCTACCTAGCAGCATAAAAGCATTCAAATTCTGATTTAAAATGTTATACATGTGGGCAGAGGGAGAGTTGCCAGAGAAACTGGGAAAGTAGAACTGGGAGTAAGAGAAACAAAGCAAGTTGTAACTTCTTTTTGGATACTCCTAAGTTAATTGGATTTGTTTATATGGTAGCACAGTGGTTAAGTGCTTGGCTGCTGACTGAAAGGTCGATGGTTCGAACTCACCAGCCACTCCGTGGAAGAAAAATGTGGCAATCTGCTTCTGTAAAGATTACAGCATTGGAAACCCCATGGGGCAGCTCTCCTCTGTCCTATAGTGTCACTATGAGTCAGAATCGACCCGACAGCAACAGGGTTAAGTATCATTTTACTAATCAAATTGATAATGGACAAAAATAAAATCTTAGCTATTAAAATCTTCATTAAAAATAATTCATTCACTTGGTTTCGTTTTCCCAGGGACCTAAATTAAATACAGTTACCCATGCAAACTTAATAACAGCTCAAGTACGTGTAAGCTTTGTAAAACACTTGGGAGAAGCATACACTTCATAATAGACTTCTATACACAGTATTGAACAACCAACTCTACTTCTTTCAACAGTACTGTTTAGTGTCAAATACAAAATGAGAGCAGCAGAGGTAAAAAACGTTCCACCGTTTAATTTTTATTTGGCCTGTTTACAGTCAGGTAAACATAGGCTGTTATGAAATAAATTATTTTTATATTTCTTCACAAAATACCCTAGAAGAAGCGATAATTTTCTTAATTTAAAACTCAGCCTTTATTCTGTCCAGCAAAGTAATTATGGAAGCAAAACAAATCCACATTGTCTAATTAGGTCATTAAAAAGCACAAATGCGTCATGGAAGCTTTTCTCCTTGCCTAAGACATAAAGTCAGACAATGAAAGCAGTCTGGTAATATAGGAAGGTTTAGAATTTGTTTGTTTTTTTTTTTCCCAAAATAATAGGTTCTTTCATCTTTCTATTTCCCTAAGACTAAGACAGTTAATTTAGAGACAAAACTCTAATTAGTTCAGGGTTTTGTCCGATTATATTTCAAAATATTTAACCAAAAG